TGGGCTGTGCTGGCAGCAGTTGCTATGGGATGAGAGAAAGGCTCTGGACATCTGAAGATTTTGGTGACTGAGTGTACGTGACTACGAGCTCTCGGCTAGCAGTGTTGTGAAGTGCTGAAAGCTGAGATATATACTTAGTGCTTTTGGGGTTTTTTTTCATCTTAGTGGGAGGAAATCTGCATGTTGAAGGTAGGAGCTGGCTGCAGGTATTATGCAAAATGTATTCTTGAAAGATACAGGGTACTGTGATACTAAAATGGTGAGTTTGGTTAAAAACATCTATAAAGCAGAGCTGATCATGGTAAAGTCTGCTCAGCTATGAAAGCCTTGCCAGAAAAAAACAAACTGAACCCAAACCTAACCAAATTTACATTCTGCACATCAAAAGTGAGCTATTACCAAAACAAGTGATGCATTATGGTTGAGCCTGTAGAAGATAAATACACAGATATAACATGATGCTTAGGGGGATACGGCATTGCATTTCCGACCTTGAGTCAGATTTATTCTGTGATAATTTATTATCTTGTCTTCAGGCAGTTTATAGGGAAACATTTTTTATGGCAAGTTATTTCATGTAAACCACACTTCACTAACTATTTTGTGCTCCAGTTAACGAACTACATGTAGCTTACTATTTTATTACTTGTAGAAATATTTCATAACCTACTAAATAATTACAATATTTACAGTTTGTATTCTGGTAAGTTTGAATGCGGCTTCCTCACTGATATTATAGAATAAAGAAACAAAAACTGATGTCAGTACAATCTGTTAGTAGAGATGCTCTATCTCCAGTGCACAGGCAACCAAACAGAAAGGAAGACAATGTGTGCACCTGTGGTCATCAATACCAAAACATACATGTGATGGAGGAAACCAAGCCATGCAGGCCTCACTGAATTTATTTCAGTTGGCTGAGAGACAAAGGAGAAATCATTTGCTTGTTTCTTCTCATGTCAGCTCTGGAACAGGATAAAAGAAGGAAATACAGCATTTCATCTTGTTTGAAAAGCACAGAAATGTAAGTTCAGGAAGGAAGCACCTTAGGGAGTTCATTGTACAGGCGCAAGGCAGGATCAGTTGTATCTCGCCCCTTCCTAACGGTCATTTGGGCTCTTAGCTGTTGGTTTTGTTTGTTTGGGATCTTTTTAATATGCCACTTCTCAGACAGTATTTCCTATACTTTTTCTGTTTTCATCATTAGAAAACTTTCCCTCACCTCTGTCTTCTTGTGGTCTTCTAACTGTTTTCATCTCTGTCATGGACATGACACAAATTACTCATTACTCCTTAATGTATCTGTGACAGTATCTTGTAAGATACTACGAAAAATCTTACTAAACTCAAAATATAACCTACTGCTTCTGCCTCTTGCACAATGTTCGCTGGTGTTCATTGAAAAGAATTAGAGCAAACTTTCGTGAATATATTGATACTCTGCAGCTGAGTGATAGTTTTTCTACATAGTTTTGGAAGCTCAAAACATTATAAGTGAAGTATATAATAAAAACCAAACCAAACCCAACCCTGCTTCTTTCCACTTCTTTCCCAGCACTGCATTTGGAAGTTTGGGCACTATTTCTACATTTCTTGGACAAAGTGGGGTTGGACTCCTGTGATTACATGAAACCCCACTTCATAAAAATAGATATGTGCCTTCTCCCTCCCTCCCCTGCTTCTTTCTTCATGTGTCATAAAATTTGCTTTTAGACTCTATTCTCTTTGGGATTGGGGTATTTCCCATTGGGAAAGCTACATAATAGCAGGTCAAGTTTTCCAAAATATTTCAATATCCCTTCTCATTGTAATTTGCAGTTCAAGCTAACTGATTGCTCTGTGGCAAGGAGCAACCTCATTTGTCTGGCAGGTTCCTTCAACTGCTGTGGATCATGCCCGGAGGTGAGCTTGCTGATGTTTACTGCAAGTCAGGTCTCAATGAGCAGTGCATGTAGGAGCTCTGAAGTACAGCTTGTTGCTGTTGTTTTAGTCATAAACCCCCTTCTGAGGTCAGAAGAGTGGAATCTAGCAAAGACCATTGGAGTTATCCAAGAAATACCTTGCCTGCTTCAGCAAGTTAACTTGTCTTCTAACAGTCACCGTACATACAGCTTCCCCTGTCCCTTTCAAGATCTTGCTGAGATTTTTTGGGTGCTGTACATTAGCTACAGGCCTTGCCCCTCTCCTGCTTGCTCTGTCATTATTCACATGGTGTTTGTCTTCTTACTTAGGAGGCATCTGTCTCTCCCATCGCTGTGGTACCTGCATAACATAATCCTCATTTAAGACCTGAGGGAATGAGAAGGACAATGCAGTCAAGTGATTTGACCTGAGGCGAGAAGTCAGCGACAAAGCATTCATCACAGTACTGCAAAAGTCAAATCATTATTTAATATTACTTCTGAATTCCTTTATAACCAGGAAAACTAACAATGCTTCACTGCACTGCACAAATGCACATGCTGGATGCTTATATGACCAAAGGATGAACAGATAAGCAAGCAGACATCAGTGTTGCAGGATGCCCTGACTGCAGTTATCTCTGTGTGAAGTAAGATTTCTGGCACCAGACAATCACAGGCTGCTATCAGAGTAGTTATATGCCTTATAATATATGCCTTTCAGAGAGGCATATATTCTGCGTTGGAGACTTCATTTTTGTTTTGTGTGGCATATAGTTTCCTAACTTTATTTACCTGCTTACCTGCATTAGAACACCAGCAACAGCATAGTCTAACAGCTCTGTCAGCTTGATGTCCTCAGACAACTGGAGCATGGTATGACTGAGGGTTGAACCTTTGCTAGGATTGTACAGGTCTTTCTGGAAACTTCATCAACCTACTGAGATACAGAGTTGCGGAATTCATTCCTATTTTATGCTAGTTGTGGTGCAGCTGGAATCTTACATATTTTGCAATTTGGAATTCACTATATAAAGGCTTTGTGACAGTGATACAGATTTTATATAGGTTGAAGATGGACTCACATAAACTTAAAGCAGCTGTTTCTTCAGAGACATCATGTCAAAGTTAAACAAAGAAACTGGTCAGAACAAATCCTTCCTTTCCTCCCTTGTCTGATGCATTGAAAGAGGAAGCAGCATTCTGAGAACAGTCTTTCCCTCTCCTCTCATGTGATAGCACAATTGGTATTGGCAAACACATGAGGGGAAACGCTTCCTCTTTTTAAATGGGAGAAGCCAACCTTTCAAAAGTTCAGAGGCGATGTTGTTGCACGCATTCTTCCTGCTTTAATCTAAAAAGACTCTCGCGGAATAGCCAAGGTTTTTTTTTTTCTCTCCCCCAGTTTGGCTTACCATTGAACCTGTAATGAAGTGACAAATCACGTAGCACTGCCTTGTCTATGCCGTCATCATAGCCTTTGAACCAGCTGATTGATTTCAGCCACATTTGATAGACAACAACTTCCTGCTCTTCTATGAAAATCAGCCACTAGATAGATGAAAGCAGCTCTACTAAAAGGCTGAGGAAAAGGCAGGGAAATCTCAACCCTTTTCTCTTCTGGCAGCAGCTGGCCAGCCAGCTAGCACATGCATTGGCCACACAAGCTATGCTGGGTGTTTTTTGTCTTCTGAAAGCCCAAAAACCCCACCAAAACCATTTCACAGAATAAGCTGCTACTGTGGTAGAAAGGGTAGGGAAGACACGGGGAACTGAATTTTTACAGTGGAGAGGCATATGAGACACAGGACATTGGCTGTTACTGGAATCAGCACTCACAGAGCAGCTTTGGTGAGATGTGGAGAAAAGCATCAATGAAACAAATGCCTTAAAGAAAAACTGAAATGAAAATCCTTCCTCATTTTTTCCATATTCCGCATTGAACCAAAGTATCATGAAAATCAACAAGTGCAGAAAAGATGTGGCAGATTGCAAAGTGGTACAAAGAATCAATGCCTGTTTTCCTCATGTTTTCTCCTGCAGTGGTTCCCTAGAAGTGTGTATGTATGCATTAATTAACAAACCTCAAAAACACATCCCAAAATGTTGCAATTCCAGCATAATATTATGCTTTACACACAACTTCACTCGTTACTTTTGCTGACAGAATTTTCTTTTTCACTCTCCTTTCATGTAATAATACACGCAAAAAGACTCACATCACAAAATCAGTACACAGTGCAAGGGTCACTCTTTATGCCCCAGCGTTAGCATGGATGTAACCTTCACATGCCAATGAGATTATAACATGTAATATGGGAGTCACCTCAACCTGGATTTTCTTTTGTTGTTAATTAAGACGATGTTTCAGTAGATAAATAAAATGAACCTACCTTTTAACTCCCACTTGAACTGCAGTTTTCCACTGGACTCTGGATTAGGCAGCCAAAATTTAATTAGCCATAGAAACTGTGGGGCAGAGGCTCAGGGGAGTGAGAAATACCTGAACGTGGAGGGCTATCAGTCCACTGGTACACTCCCATTATCCTTAGCAATGAGATATGAGTAACATCTTGCACTGCAAAACACACCGAGTATTTGTGTTTGGTTTATTCATATCAAGTTCATACCATCAGAATAACTTTACAACTTTGCATCAGGTAAAAAAAAAACATTTAACATTTAATAAAAAGATCACGCCACTAGGGATATCCTTAAGAAATACACACAATTTCTCATTACAAAAAATGAGTCAGATCAGGTCTTACTTTACAAAATAGGATTTTCTTTTACAAACCTTATATAAGATTTCAGTTTTATTAACTTTTGCAATAAATAGTTCATCAAAATTAAATTATCTAGTATTATAGGCAATTGCTATTTAAATTAATGTCATGACACAGTGTCAGGTATTGCTACAACTTAACAGTGAGCCACTACAAACAGTAGCAAAAATTATGTATTGCTTAATTCCTCATTTATTGTCAAGTTTCTTGTACTCAAAAAAACAGTATGAGCCTGTCAAAAGTCTGTGTACACATCTTCATGTATTCATTTTTACTGTCTTAAGACTGTAGCAATTAGAAGATAAGTTCAACAGACATTTGCTTTTCCTTTGAAGTATGAGGAGTGCATTCAGGCCTCTTCTGAAACTGATACTGTTCTTGAATCAGAATCTTCTTGTTCAGAGTCCTGAAGGTGCTCTGGTGTCTTGCTGGCTTCATGTCCACTCTCATCACTGTGACTTTTGGATTCTTCTGAAATGACAGTTAGCTTATCATAAAAAAGATGCTCTTCCTGTGGGACTGGAGAAAAAGTCTGTGAACCACTGGAAGGCTTGTTCAAGAACTGTGAAGGGAAGAGGAAATGAGAGTTAGACGGCACCAGCCATTCCATCCTGTTTGCTTAGAAGTATGTTTTACATTATTTTCCACACATCAATTGCTTTTCTCAATCCTAAGAAGTCCCAGAGTGGCAACAACCTAATCACCTCCCTGCTCACTTTAACATCCTGTGCAAGGCTTGGAAGCAAGGCAGAAGTGCCTTTATTTGCAAGAAAATATCCTAGGTGTTAGTGATTTCTTTGGAATATAAACTTTCTTAAGAAAAAAAAAATAAAACAAAAACCTAGGTTTTGTTTGGAAACCAAAAACCTAAAAATGGTGACTTGGCTGGGGGTGAAGTAGTTTGCAGAGAGATTTGCCAAACAGCTTCAAGAGATGTGAACTGTTCCTGCCATCTCAGAGAGCTGTCTGTGCAGACATCAAATGGTGATGCTTTAAATGCCAACATAAACCATAACCATTTTGTTAAGTAAAGGCGAGGGATGGAAATTTTGCAAGGCTATGCAGTTCAGTGAGAAAAATGACTTAATTTTAGTATCAGAAAATCACAGCTTCCTCCCACTCACTGTCCTACCGGTAAGATGGAACCTCAAGAATCAACATGGACTTCACAGGATGTCATGACTGTCAACATTTTGAATGTCAACAAGAACTGCACACCTACTCAACATCATAATAACATGTTAACCACTTGCTTTGGCAGCTGAAATGGCAATTCATTTTAATGGTGGTGGCTGGAGGAGTACAACTGTGTTGTGTTCTTGTAACCTGACCCCTGTCTATTACTTTAGCATATTTCACATAAGAAACAAGATGCTCTATCAGGAGCCCCTCTCATTGTACTTACAAAATACACCCCCCGCCCCAACCTAATGTTACTATTAGACCTTATAGCAAACTGTGATTTGAAATGTTCTATCAGTAACCTGCAATCTCAAATGTTCATGTAGTGAAACCACTGCCTTTGATAAATGTAATTTTAGGTAAGCATGACTGGCTTTGATTACTTTGATTTACCATTATAATCCACCAGCACAAAATGAAAATTCTCCCTTTCTTGTGAGAAGCTTGTGAGCAAAATGAAATCTGACCACATCCTGTATTGATAAGAGCAATGCTACCTTCCCAGCAGCTCTGCTCCCAGTTCTCACTGTGCACTCAACTTGAAGTGCAAGACAATTGCTAAGTCTGCTGCAAAGCCTTCACCTGATGAACTCTAAGTCAAAATGAAGGACGAGAGAAACTGCAGAAAATGGGTGGCATGGTTTAGTGCGAGGTGTCCCTGCCGTGGCAAGGGGGTTGGAACTTGATGATCTTAAGGTCCCTTCCAACCCTAACTATTCTATGATTCTATGAAATTCAGCAGAGCTGCTAATTTTGGCATATGTAACAGACTTTACAGCCTTGTTTCTTGGAGGAGATTCTGATACAGCCTTTTTTTGTTGCTATATGGGTAACAAGGATCAGTGGTATTCCCTAGTAGTAATGGCTAACATTCACTGCTTTTATTTTGAACTTTAAGATCTCACTACATTCTTCACTGAAGTTAAAACTCATTACTGTGTTTGTGAAAGAACCTCCTTTCAAATGTGCAATTGTAAGTCTAAAATGAGATGGGGAGACATATTTCAATTGTTTACAACCTAAAAAGAGGAAGAGAAGGTTAACACCTGTTATTCTCTCATTTTAAAATGAAAGAAAACATCTTGTTTCTAAGCCATAGAAAGCTTCATGTTGCAAATTATGCAGTTACTTTAGGAATAAAAGCCTATGCCAGGTTTTTAAATTGTTCAGCTTTAAACATTTTGGACCATTCTGTACAGAACTGTTCAACATTACAGTATTTTAGAGTTTATTATACATCAGTATACTTCAAAAAGAAGTCTAATATCACTGCTTCTTACTTATGCCTTTGCAGCTCCACAGAACTTGAACGTGCAAGATAACATACATGCACGATGCGTGACCTTATAACACCAGAAATTAAATACTGAATGAACTAATTTCCGCTACCTTTCTCACACAGAAAAGTACCTTCCTTTGTCAGCTTTTCCCAAAGTTCACAACTTCATCATTTAACACTTACTTGAATGGCTTTTGTGTTTGGCAGAAGAGTGAGTTTCACTGTACACAACTGTATGACAACAGATAACCAGCATTGCTCCTTCTAGTCTAAACTCCCCTCAGAACAGCCTGCACTTTACAGACAGCTCACAATCGGGTGCAAATGAAAAAAGGTGAAATAAAAGTAGCTCTAAAGGTTTTGACGCAGAAAGCTTTTGAAAAGCAACCGCTTCTGCCGATTTTAACTGTGTTAGGTAGAAAACAAACCTCTTTTAAGTGTTGTGGGAAAACATACGAAGGACAGAGAACATGTTTGGTGAGTCGATACAGATACAAAACCAAAAAGAAACAAACAGGAACAAATATCACAACGACCAATGCTGATCCTATAAGAATGGTCACAACAATCCACACAGGAGTTACACCTGCAAGACAAGAAAAAAACAAACCAAACCAAACCAAACATAAACCTGTGATTATTAATTTCTGGATACATTCTTTTCAAATCATCACTTTCTCCATGGAATTAAAACCAAACCAAAACAAAAGCCAACCAACCAAAAAAACCAAACAAACCACCGACCCCCCCAAACCCCCAAACCCCAAACCAAACTATCACAAAACTGTAACTGCAAAAATAAGTCTTCATTTCCAGATGTAAAATAATTATTAACTCTTAAATTTTTAGCCTGAATAGGTTGAGTTGAAGTTCTCAATGCAACCTTACAAACCAGCATATGTAGACATTTACGGTTACACATACAGGTGATTCTAGATGTAAGACTAGGCAAATGATTAAAGGAAAAAAGACCAACAGAAGCATCTATAAGGCAGTATCATGTAAAAATGGCAGCAAAGTAAAGGCAGCAAGGGGAAAATGACCATAAAATTCAAAACTGCTTAGCCATTAAAAATAAAGGTCATGCTTGGGGATTTCACAACAGGCAACGGGAATTGAGATGTATCCATACATCCCTGTATAGATGTTTTAAACCAACCTATGCATGCTAAGCACTGGTCTAGCCATGAACTAACAAGGAACACCACCATCAAAACCAATGTGCGATTCAACTGCAGTGCATACAGGTAGTATTCATGTAGGAGAAATATGTGAGGAGATATTTTACCAGAAAAAAAACTTATGAGAAACAGCTTAGCCCAGCAGCTCCCACAGAGAGCTTCCTTCTTGTGCTTCTGCCTCTGGTTTTTCATGTTATCTGATGGCCTGTTATCCGAAATACTGACTTTTTCAGAGACATAATGTGTATCATCCTTTCTTTAACTGGGGACATGAAGCTCCCTGCTAAGGCAACAGAGCCAGACCACATGGTGTTTAACTGCTGGACTCCACAGACAGCAGCCTAGGTGGCATGGCTGGGAAGTGCTTTTCTTACGTAACTACCTTCAAAATGAGAATGAAAGTGCCTGAACAAAATATTTGTTCATATTACTAATTAGGACATCCTCTGTTTCACAGAGAAAAGAGCACCATGGCCTACCCTAGTGACGGGCATGGGCATTGTCACCACAGGTGAAGCAGACTGCAGAACAGGGGCCAATTCCTTTCTCAGTGATGAATACACAACAAAGGCTTTCATAGGATAATAAATACAGCTGAAGGTAAAAGAAATTCAGACACAGAATGATTAGTGAAGAGTACATGCTCCATTTAACTCTGATTTGCAGAGTATGAGGAACATAGAGGGTTCTGGAGTGAAGTAAAGCATCATGCTATCTGTGCCATATTGCTTGTAGTTTTCACTTTGTTTCCAGTTCCTGCCCTCCAAAGGTACATAGCTGTTAACCACCAAACAATACCGCAGTAACAAACACATCCATTTTTGGAAGTTTCACATGTTACACTGACAGCCGTTCTGAATGGCTTTACACATTTCCCAGCTCCCTACAGTGTGTGTCCTCCCGCGCTGCACCAGGTATTACCATTGTGGGTTGTCTGCTCACAAAGCACTTCACTCAGTTCCCCTGTTTTGTTCCACTCGGGGATAACTGCTTGCACTTGAATACAATATATCGTCCATGGCTCCAACTGAGATAGGATTTCAGTGTTATGTTTAGTGTCTACATGAGCTACCTAATAACAGAGAACACACACACACAAAAAAAAGGAAAGCATGAGTCCAGTGGTCTGGCTAAGTAATTACAGTTACATTTAGAATCACAGAATGGTTTGGGTTGGAAGGTTTGTGTTAAAGATCATCCAGTCTCAACCCCCTGCTGCAGGCAGGGACACCTGCCACTAGACCAGGCTGCTCCAAGCCCCATCCAACCTGGCCTTGAACACTGTAAGGGATGGGGCAGACACAGCTTCTCTGGGCAACTTTTGCCACCTGCATAGTAAAGAATTTCTTACTAATGTCTAATTTAAGTCTCACGTTTTTCAGTTTAAAGGCATTCCCCCTCATCCTATCACTACATGCCCTTGTAAAAGGTCCCTCTCCAGATTTCTTTTAGGCATCTTTTAGTTACTGGAAGACGGCTACAATGTTTCCCCAGAGCCTTCTCTTCTATAGGCTGAACAAGCCTATCTCTCTCCACCTGTCTTCATAGGAGAGGTGCTCCAGCCCTCTGATCATCCTTTAGCAGGACATCTCATCATTTAGTAGGACAAATGCCAGCAGTCGTAGCTGCAATGTGAACAAGGCTTTTAAAGGCAGAATGAGAGTCCCTGCCTGTGTCAAATAACCAATAACTCTACTTGGATTTCAGCTGTCGTCACTCTGAGACCATTCACATCACTGACTTTCTGGCTGCTATGAGGTGACTGCCAGCAGATGCAACTTGCTGTTTAGAGGCACGATTGGTTATGTCCATATAGGGTTCCCGAAGAGTATAGGAGCTCCTACAGGATGCCCATTATGCAGTAACAGGTTCTTTCTCAGGGATGAGGAGACTATATAGCTAAGTTTTAACATTATAAGCAAGGATTTATTTCAGAAACAACCTATGAAGTTACATAGTCTATGCCTTCTGCTTCTTTGATCCCTATGAAATTTCCCAGGCTTCTGCTCTGAGGTGTTATAAGCACAGATTATACCTGAACCTCTCACTTTCTCTGTATATTTGCCTAAATTTCCATCCCATATGCAGAAATACCTTCACTTTTTGTAGTCTGTTTTTTGGAAATGATGACCCCTCATTTCCTGGAATTGAATGCCTAAGAATTTTTCCAGGATAACAAATACAAATCACAGTTATAAGTAGTGGAGTCTTATTATATGAAAATTGTACTGATGTACAAAGCACTAATTACACTGTGATTGGTATCTTCCAGTAAAGGGCTTCCTTTTTTCCTGTAATAGAATCTATGAGCTATAATTAATATATTATTTATGATCTTTCTCCATGCATTCTGTGGGGAGCTGAGTGACACATCTGTCTGTGGAAGAGGCTGGTCATGAGAGGAAGGAAGCAAATTACAACTTATGGAAATTGAAGAGGTGAAGGTGACCACAGTTAATATAAAGCCTCATCCATGGGGGTATTCAAAGCCCAAAGTCCCACAAAGAGCACAAATACTTCAGTGACATGAGAGTTGAACCTAAGTCAGTTTGTAGCCATGATCACAGACACTGCTGACATTACAGCTTCTAAATTTACCCTTGCTTGTATGTATGACATTCAGGGTTTTGGTGAGGAAGCCTGCATTCACAGATAAACACATCACTGAACTGAGGGAATAAACTCTCATAATGTAGCAGTTCTAATTATAGAAAGAGCAAATTGTATCAATGCTACTGTTTAAGTACACAGCTGCCATTTGCTCTGAATAGCAGTTGTAGTGACTAGACTTTCTTACACTAATTAGTAGACATACATTTTTACTTCAGTACTGTTAGCTTTCAGAACTTCATCAGTATGGTACTTTACCAAGAAAAGCAAGAATCAAAACCATGGAGTCACAATACCCCAGAAGCAGTGCTGCCTTTCTTCCAGTACAGTATCCTGTAATTCCATGAACCGTAATACTGCTTCAGAGGCCAGTTGTCACGCTCAGCAAAAGGGCCTATGAAATCCACATGCAGGGACCCAGACTCTGACTTCACTTTTACATCAGGTGGCCCAATGATGGCTATACATTAGAACGGTGGAAGAGAAGAGCAAAATTCAGTTTCATGTTGTTTTCAGTTTGACATTTTTATAGTAACGCTTTAAAGAATTTTATCAGAAAAAAGTTATTTCCTATCATGGATCAGGCATAAATAAATCCTTTCCTTATAGAATTGCTCTTGAAAGGGATTTATTTTGGCCGTTAGGTAACAGATGCTATTGCAGACTACATTTCCCATAGAATAAATTAACTCAGTTCCCTTTTGCCAGCTGTGTGACTCCTGGGAGAGGAAGGACTATTTCTATAGGTTATTACTCACTTCTCCTTCTGGGCCAAGCTGCTGCAACATCTGTCTTTCCTGAGGAGACCTCTAATGAAGTGTTTTAATGTTTCTTTCATTGTGATAATTATTAAAAACTGAAACATTTGAATTATTTCTACATTTCTTGTACTCCTTAGACTGAATATTATATTCTTGCCATTTGTAAATGGCTTTTCCTCATTATGTTTTTGTGCAGCTACCTAAATCATTTCATGATTTCGCCTTAGTTAACTATGTTGTGTTGGAAATGAGCTCTCCATTAAAGTCTCCTATAATTCCAGCAAAAATCTCTACCCTGGCTGCCTCACCAAAGTTCTGCCTGGCTGCAGTGATGCTATAAAGTGTCTAAGATAGGAAAAGCTCAAAAGAGATGATTTTGCATTCCTCTAGAAGTATGTGCTTCTATAATAATAAAAAGCCTCAGACAAGCCGCTCGCTGAACCATACATTCGTGCAAGCTCATGAACGGTTTGTTCAGCTTACAAAAAATAATGTGAGGAGGGTCTTGGTTGCTCTGCTTTTCTTAGGCTGTTCCTATAATACAGAGTGGAATTTAGTAAAAACCCACTAATAGGAATAGATATCAGTTTAATCATGATACCATGCTCAAATCAGTTATGACGACATTAAAAATACTCGTGTCCTCCTCAGAGATCTGGCCAGTACTCCCAGGTAGTTCTTTCCAAGTGGTTTTATACCTAGAGTTTCCCATTCAGGAATAAGCTGCCTTTCCAAAGCCAAGCTTGCTCTGAAGGCCACACACTATTTCAATTATATGGCAAACTACAACTCTGTTAATGATTTACAGGTTTGCTCTCTACTCTGCAAATCCACCCATACTTTTTGTATTACATCTTCTTTTGGCTGTAGCTCATACTTGCAATGTTGATGTCACTATGTTTCAGTGCTTCCCTTACAGGCAGATTAAATTATATCAACATTACACTTTTGGAGAGGTAATAAAAGCATCTTGAAAAACAAAGCTGTAAACTGTAAAATTGCATTCTGAAATCCAAGGAACAGAATGATGAGATTTCAGCAAACGGAGGCAGAACAGGGGAAGAAAAAGAAACGTAAAGTTTTTTCTCAAAGGTGAGAAGCAACAGAAGCTTCATGAATGGTTTTGCATTCACAGCTGTGAGGAAAAAAAGCCTTGGGTAACATTAACTACGTAATCTAAAATAATTTGGTTTTTGCTTATGAGTGGAGTAAGAATGTACAAAACAAAAGACTCTACTTGGTAAAAACCACCCTCTCATTCCCAAGCTCAGGTGACAGCAACATGATTAACATCTCCGTTGTACACTCTAATGCAAGGCAATGCCTAAACCACTTCTCATGGAAGACTGTCAAGCTTCTCTAAAAGAATGGCAGTATTGTGTAATGAAGATTTCTTACCTAAAAATTTACCTTTCTCTTGACATTTTCAACAAAAAAATGAAAGAAAGCTTTTTGCCTGGCATAGCAATGAAAAAGAAAGTAATTGAACTTACTGAGATATACAGGACATCTGAATCTTTGATTCAGATTGAATCTCCCTGATTGAAAAATATATATGACCCTTGTTTTGATATGACCCTTGTTTTAAGGGCAAGACATACATTTTTTAAACCCCCCTCAATAGAGGTTTCAAGTACCAATATTAACATCTAGCTATAACACTGAATCTACAGTGCCTTCTGACAGCAACTTCTGCCTTCAGAAACTGGAAATGTTACAACTAAGGTTTTGTTGTTCAATGTAATGACATTTAAAAACTATCTGCATGCTACAGGTTTTCTTGTGGAGTCAAACCATAAAGGTGCATTAATAGCATCCAATATGGTGGATTTTCCTGAAGATTATGAAAGTGCTTACTGTCATCCATTGGCTTAAATCTGATGGTTGTCCACTCTGAATGGTCGTTTTCTGACTCTGCTCGGACCTGTAAAATGTAGTCTCCATATGCAGACAGAGAAGAGACATCACACTCTGTGAGCCTCAAATTTGTGCTCACATTTTCATATGTGTCTCCAGGTAAATTGATGCTGTATGGAAGAGAAACAACATGTCTATGATGGTTAAATTATATATGACTAAATGTATTTCCTCTCAGTTAACTGGAAAAGTGGAATATCTGTTTGTTGATACAACCAGTTATGACTCATGAACAAGAAAAAATGGAACCAGTGTAGAAGAAACATCATTACTAGTGTGTACACACATATTGAGCATTTTGTATGCATCTATAAAGCCATGATAAAGTTAGAGATTAAAATTATGATACAGTAAATAGGTGCCCTTTTATTGACATTGGTTACAAAACTTGATTCAACAGGCAGTAGTTATCAGACAAGTCTGCAAATATCAAGACAGCTTGCTGTCTAACTTGGACTTTGTTCAGAACTGTCTTTAAGATATGCGTATAAGGAAAAGCCAGAGAAAATATTAGATACACATATAAGGAACAGCCTGAGAAAACAGAGCCTGAAAACTCACTGCAACCATTCAGTACATGATACTATTTCTGGTTTGCATCAAAAGCCCATGCAGGAACGCAGTGATCAAAAGGTATTTGCTACCAGAACCCAGAAAAATCTTCTTTCAACTAAGATGGGGGATTTCTCCCCAAAGGCACCTGCCTGTGGGCACCACATCTCCACTTTACATCCTGTCTTGGCTTTTACCTTGTCTTGGCCAAAGAATTCAACTTTTGGCAGGAGCACAAGACTTCTGCCCCACCACACGGTTTCGTTGCCAAGCACAGAGGCAGGTACGGAGCCCACCACTGGGCTGGGGAAGTGGCCACCTTCCTTGGTTCGGCTGCACAGACCACTTTTCCCAACAGGAGGGACCAAGTCGGAATGACACAGTGCCAAAACCAAATCAAACCTAAATCAACCTACCAAAAATGACAAAAGGAGACCTCAGAAAATGTGTCCCAAGTTTAAGGCTTGGATGAGCCACCAGCCTGCAGTTCATCAGGCATTTCCACTGAGGGCACGGGCAAACTGACTGCATTGGTGGCAGAGAACAAACTGCTACTGGAGTGGAAGATCAGGTAAGGTCCTAAACACTCTGCAGAACTAAGTCTTTGAATCACAGGTAACAGCTTCATAATAGAGGAAAAAAACACAGAGACAGCTAATAACAGCCAACATTAAAATGTGTTTCTGGTTCCAAAAGAAGTACATACAAAGCTGCCTTTAATGCAGGGTTTGCAGTAGGAAGATCGAAGTTTACCTCAGGAGAAACTATGTGAATATCTGTCAAGGTTTAGAAGAACTGTCTTGTTTTGAGTAGATGACTGAATGAAAAAAGGCCAAAGGGCCCCAGAGGAGGGTAACATCCTCAGACCAATGACATGTATCTCATTGATGAGAAGTTGGCAATGGAATGATCAGGGGACTGGAGCACCTCCCATATGAAGGCAGGCTGAGAAAGTTGGGGCTGTTCTTCCTGGAGAAGAGAAGGCTGTGTGGAGACCTCATAGCAGCCTTCCAGTATCTGAAGGGGGCCTATAGGGATGCTGGGGAGGGACTCTTCATTAGGGACTGTAGTGATAGGACAAGAGGTAATGGGTTAAAACTTAAACAGGGGAAGTTTAGATTGGGTATAAGGAGGAAATTCTTTCCTGTTAGGGTGGTGAGGCACTGGAATGGGTTGCCCAGGGAGGTTGTGAATGCTCCGTCCCTGGCAGTGTTCAAAGCCAGGTTGGACGAGGCCTTGGGTGATGTGGTTTAGAGCGAGGTGTCCCTGCCCATGTCAGGGGGGGTTGGAACTGGAGGATCTTAAGGTCCAATCCTAACTATCCTATGATTCTATGAACTGACTTTCGAGGCATTGCTGAAGGGAACTGCCTTCATTATAACACTAAAAATCACACCCCCTTGAGATAAGAGACCCTTGCCCACAGACACCTTTACTCACAAATGTGTAGTGAAAGAAATCCATATGGCCTTTAAACAGAGAATCTAAAAGTCAATCATTGTAAATGACTGACCAATCACTGTACCTGGGAATGTACTACCTTGGGACTTCTGTGTGTAGATGTAATGAAGAAGCCTCATCAGGTGTGCTTGATTTGTGGAAATGTATCACCGAGCACTCTGCAGAATAAACAATGTCTTCGCTCTAAACTGTGTTTTGAGAGTTCTCTTTCAAACAGGTAACACCTTGGGCGTGAAAAGTGTAGAAAATGTGCCTGCCCGGTTGTTTAGCTCTGAAGATAAACCTCACACCAGCTAAAAGAAAGGGACAGCTACTGACCTTCCTATATATAAAAAAGAAGGAACAAATCACGAACACATGCAGCTGTAAAACATGGACTAAAGAACACAGACTTCCCAGACTTACCTCTTAGATTGGACGGTGTAACTTATATTCCCTTTGTAAAACCTAGGTGCATCCCATTGTAAAATGCTACGAAGATTAACTGAAGTAATCCTTGTGTTTTGGGGTTTTGGCACTATTCCAGATACTGTGGGAGCAATCAAAACGAAACAAACATTTTAGTGTATGTCCCTCCAGCCACTTCTCAATGATCCATAACTTAAATACAGCCTCCTTTCTTTGCCTTGCCTCAGAAACGTTTATAAAACAGACTTTAACGTGATTAATTTTAATCCTGGTGCCTATCCTTCCTTGTGACCTTGCGCAACAAAAACAAGTTAGCCAGCATCAGTGATTTCCAGTAAGTGCAGTCTTCATGGCATCATCATTTATTATGCATGACTAACTTGTTACTGCCTAAGACTCAGAGCCCATAAAGCTACGTGGATGAACTCTCACTGAGATTGTCCAAATCAGTTGTTTTCACTAGCACTATGGAAATAACATGGCTGTGGGGATTGATGTGCTGGTTTTGGTTTTATTTTTAAGAGGAACATGAACAGTCTTTATACATAGACCTGTGTATAAGCCTGAAGTAATTAAAAACATCCACCCACCATAAAGCATGTTTGTGTCATCACTGCATGGGTTAGCTTTACACATGCTGTTACTCAACCACCCTTTTGAAAAAGAGATAAACACAAAGTACCTTGGAAGGCAAGAGAGCCGTTAAGTACACTAAATAGCATTAATTGGCACTCTTCACAAGGGATGGAGACACAATTGTCTTGCTTTATGGAAACCGAATAAAGGAAACTCTAAGGTAGTATTGATGAACAGACCATTACTATTATGATTGAATTCTTTTAAAACAGTTGTTGATATTGAAACTAAAATCAGAAAGATTTTGGCCCATTCTTGCAAAGGCAAAGAAATCCCCATCAGGTCAGACTAGTGCTTAAATGTCATAGGAATAAAACCTAATGACACGTGTTCTAAGATAAATAACTTGTATGTCTACAGCTGATGCATAAATACATGAAATTAATGTGTTGCTTACCCACCTTTAGCAGACAAGAGTTTTGAATCTAGACCCTGCTTAAATAAAAACTGTTTCACAGACTCAGTTCCTGCAGTGTTCGCCTTGCACCCAACAAATCAACTTGAATGCACTTCAGAATATAAAAGCAGAAGTTGCCTGCTTCTCTGCACCCCAGCCTTCTTGAGAGATGCCATCCCTGTACAAACATGCTCTCGCCCATACCAACCTCGGGCACTCTCCTTCAGAGATCTCTGCCTGAGCACACACTGTGCCCCTCTGCAGGCACCTCCAGCCTCCTGCTCCCACATCGTCTCCTCCCTGCAGGTCTCCCCCAGGCGTGCAGGACGCTCAGGAAGATGGGCACAGGTAACAACGGGCTGCAAAACCTCAGTGTGAACAACACAGCTGAAGAAAAATCTGGCTAGTACAAGGCATCTGACTTTTCCTTTCCCGTACGATGTGGTCCTTGCTATGAAGAACCCTTGTTAGGGCGCTGCCTACATTTTGAGGAAGCTCCCTCCAAAGCTGGGGTGGTAAATCCCCAGTAAGCCTGATGCCCTGGAAGGTTCGTTTCCCAGATGGTGCTTCCTACTTGAAAAGCCTCCAGCTCAATTTTTTACTGGGCACTGTGGACCCAAATTGATGAGAATATACTTGTGCGTTTGCCCTTGGTAAGTGGAGGTTTGTTCACTGCTCATAGCACACCGGAGCCTCGGGCACGGCCTGTCTGGGAAACGTGTGCCCGGCCCCGCTGAGCGTCTGCCGCCGGAGCAGCCCAGCCCGTGCCTGCCGCGCAGGCACCGCTGTTCCCGTGCCACGCTCGTTGTGCCTGCCGGAGCGCGGTTTCTCTTCCACACGCGCTTTTCACCACCGGGACCTGCACGAGCGTCCAAAGGGCAATTTCAGCTTCCCTGCACAGATACAACCCCTGAGCGGGGGGAAAGCCAGCCCGCGCCTCGGCGCCCTCCGCGCAGCAGCCGCTCCCGGGGCTCTCGAGGCAGCGTGGCCCCGGAGGGCAAAGCCGGCCGCTTCTAGCGACCCCTGCCGCCGCCTCCCCCCTTGCTCCCCGCGGGAGGACCGTCGCTCCTCCGGGGGGCCCGCAACCCACCGCTGTCCCCCGCCAGGCCTGGGGCGGACTCACCGCAGAGTAGGAGGCAGCTACAGAGGGCGGACCGGAGGGCGGCCATGGCTGCTCCCGGCGCGGGGTTCCCTCAGCAGCGGGGCTGCCAGCGCAGTCGCGCCATGGCACCGGGTGCTGCCCGCTCGGGCGAGGAGCGGGGCCGCCCCGAAACCCTTCCGTCTTCCCGTTGCGGGAGGGGGCGGGGCGGTGTGCGGCTCCGCTGCCGCCCCCAGCTGCGGGGCTCAACCCTCCGCCAGCGGGGCTGATTGCCTCCGAGCAACAGCGGACACGGACTGCACCGCGGCCGGCTCATCCCGCCCGTTCCGAAGCCTCTCCAGCAGCACCCAGCGCCTGAAACCTTCCCAGCGGGCTCATGGGCGCTGTGCTTTACGTGTCTCGGCGGTACGGGCTGCTCGGATACTTAGGATCGCTAAAGAGCATCTTCAGGCGGGCAGCTGGGAAGGCGGGAGGTGGGAGCTCGGTACAAAGTGGATACACAGGTAAATAACACATAAACAGAGGCCAGACGATGAATAGCGTCAAACCCGACCGTGAGTGAAATTCCCTCCGCAGTCAGTACAAATGTTACCTGAGGAAAGGTTTGCCTTTTATCTTCAGGATCTGGCCTGCACCAGATGCCAACACTAGTACTTCTACCAGAACATTTAGCATCCCTGATCAAAACCAGCATAAACTTGGGGGAAGGAGGGAGCATTTTTATTAATCACAGAGAAAAACCAGTTGTTTCTCACCTGACTAATGTCACTGACTGAAAATGCCAATTCTTTGTGAGGGTTTAATAGCCTTTTTTCCAGCCCATCTGACAGCTCCTGTCATTAAATGGGGCTGCACACAGCCCCCCTGCCTTCACTTACATATGAACAATGTCCCTGGCCCAAACTACTGTGAAGGTACGTACACCAGTGGTGCAGGTTTCATCTACTAATGCTACAGATGTGTAAATCTGCAAATAATTAGCTAGTCAAGATTCAAGACACTTTGTTCTGACCTAAGCAGGTACAGCAGCAGCATACATTCCAGCACCTCTGAAACTGGTCTCAGCTATCCTGACCAAAAGAATAACTGAATGCCGTGGTTACTAAACTGGGGCAAGAAAACTAGTACCTAAACAGATCAACACCAGGTGAGAAAATCTGGGTGGTTTTTTCCCAGCGCGGTGATACTTAGAAGTATAAGGAGTACATGCTCATACGCATGTAGCATGTAAGAGCCACAGTAAGAATTCAGACAGGGATATGAAAAGATTTTCTTTTTATGAAGCACAAATGTTTAAAAGTTACTACAGTGTACAGTTTAATGTCATAAAATATTTTAGAAGTGTAGTATTCAATAATTGCACATAATTACACTAAAAAATTATAAAAAAGTATATTTAATGCCTTCATTCACAGTAAGAACTCTTCCATAAGATTGAATATTCTTGTTTCTGTCCCCATTATTTCACTTGACCAGGTTTCTCTGCACAAATGTAGAACTCGGTTTTCTGACTCAAACACAGCAATCCATCCAGCAAAACAGGTTCCAGAGTAACCCAGCAACAGAGCTAACGAAAAAAGGAAAAAAAAAGAAAGAAAAAATAAAGAAAAAAGTGGTCTGGTTGAGGGACCAGCCACTCACAGCCCTTGTACTGCAAACTAACTTAGCACTCGAGTTACAGGAAATACTTGCTTTGGAACAGCTAAAAGGTATAGTTCACTATCCAACTGCAAAATGAAGTAAGTACTCTTTCTGCTGCATCTGAACACTCATTTTTGTTTCTCTGTGGCTCATCCAACCTGAACCGTACCTGCAGTAACCTGGTGAGATCAGAAAAACAGCTGTTAAATATGCATGTTGTGTATTTTCAATGTTCAGGCATATACTCAAAGAACGTTAAAAAACAAAAAGAAGATCTGTATGTCCAGTCCATAAATCAATGTTGTTGGACAACATTGATTTGTATGTCATAAAACAATAGTGGTTTTTATTTGTTCATCTTCTTATGTATTCATTTTTTTGGTACATATCTGGATCTGATGAGTCACTTTCATCATCAGCAGAAGAGGTTTGCCACTCGTGAGAGTTGTTATGACAGTAGGGTTTCTGCACACTTTCTGTGTCATCCAGGAGTTTTGCTTCGACAGCATGAGTACATTGCCAATCAGCTGCATCTTCTTGGGAAGAAAGAAGAGCTGCAGAACTATCCACATTCTCTTCAGAGGTTCCCAACAGCACGGTTTTTAAGTTAATGGTAAAACAAGCACTGTCCTCTGGCCTTGAAGAATAGTTACACTTTGCCTCAGAGAAAGGATTAAGTAACTCACAACTTGTGTCTTTGTCTTCTTCAATGTCTGACTCCTGCTCTTCAACATCTTCTGGGTCAGTGTCCGGATTTTCACTTGCCTGGCTGCTGCTGTCATCACACATGCTACTTGTAGAGTACTGCATGGATGCATCTGGTACATTAGAGGAATGAGGTACTCTATTTAAGATATCACGCCTTGTATAGTCATGATTACTTATGACATCATTGTCATCACTCTCATCTTCATCACTGACGCCACCACTGGAATTATTTGCCCTTTTTTTAACCTCTTTGTAAATGATCTCTATAGAGGCTATTTTTTCAGATTCAAATGTCCAAGGTGGATAGGCTAACCTCCTGATGAATACCTAAAAGAACAAAATGAATGCATTAAAAAAAAATAAATAAAAAAAAAAAATCAGACAAATTTGCACATATACAAAATATGAAAAAATGCCCTCAGTCACAAGGTTGTCAAACAAAGTATTCCTTCTGTGCCACATTTTTGGCTTTTTCTGCAGACTTCAGGGCTCAGCTTTACTCTGCACCTCCCTGGATTACTGCTTGTTCAAAGCACTGGAGGGAAATGCCAACAATCATTAAAAAATAACCTTAGACATTCCTTGGCAAAGTCATGTTCAGCAATTTCACAGATGTGAAGGTATGGACATAGCAAAGGACAGAAACACAAGGCGTTGATAGCAGTCTGCTTGTACATGCATCTCCTTCCCCCAGTCCCCAGCTCAAGTATGCTTTCTTCCAGAGCCACATGGTTTCTTTTCCTTTGCTTTTTATTTTCATTCAACTCCACTATTTGGGTAGATCCCAACAGCCTCATCCAGGAGTTAGTTTCTAAGGTGCTATGCCTAGCTCTAGGTTCCAGCAGAGGTAACTTGCATATGAATACCTTTTTTTTTTTTCCTACTAAGTGTTCCACTAATCAGGCATTCTTTTCACTATCACCTGTGTATACCAGAATACAGTAAAAAAACATCACTGAGATGGAAGAAAGAAGACAGGTCACCCAGAGAAATGATCCTGAACTTGTTAGTTACACTTCTGGAAGTAACAAATAGGATACTTTTCTGGCAGGGACATATCTGCACATAACTGCATTCCAATCTACAGTACGAGACACCTGTGAAACTGGAAGGTTGGGGACTTGCAGAGTATATCTGCTTTCAGTAGATTTTTCTAGTAGCATTTTTCCTTTGACTGAGAAGCTACTGGTGATGTTACTCAACAGACTCAGGTTTCTGTACACATCCGTCCTGCACTGTGGTGACCAGAAACAGATATACTTCAGGTGTGGCCCGACAAATGCTGAGTAGGGTGGAATGATCTTTATCTGTTAGTAACTTGTCACAGAAGTAGCAAGAAATGGTTTTGAAAAAGCCTGAATATTTGTTCCATAGCCTACAGGCTGCTGAATCATGTCTGTTATATCTTTGACACATGTAAACTGCAAATTAAACCATATGTACTTATATAACTTGTACCTAATGCACAGGACTAGAAATTTCAGAGGGTAAAACTTCCTCCTCCCAACCAGGAAGATTAAAAATGAGAATTAATACATACCAAAGTACGTGGAAGTGATTTATTTTGAAGAATATAGCCTCCTGCATGCATGCATTTCAAGGCACCACCTAACATCAGTGAAAAACATACAGCACACGTGATGACAACTGCATGATAATCTGCAAGTGAAAAAACCAAAAACAATTAACATATGTAAATGAAGTTTCCAGTAACCACATTTTACATTCAGAACAGCTATTTAGAATCACAGAACCTCTGTGATCAGAGGTCATCTGGTCCAAAGTCAAAACAAGACCAAATCTCAGATTCAGGAATTAAAAAAGAAGTTACAGCATCATTGATAACTGCAGATAAACACAGTTAGTGAAGATTTGTATGGCTTGCAGGATTAAGAATAGATCTATAGTCCCAAAGTGGATGGGAGTTTATGTTTCACTTAAAAATCCCCACAATGTTTATCACTCAAAAGGTACTTCCTCTTTTAGTACTTTTAGGATTAATTGACTTGTAATTCTTCCTATATTAAAAAATAAAACAAAACAAAACACCCCCCACCCCCCCCAAAGCCCAGAGAAAAAGAAAACAAAAAACCCACCAAAAAACAAAATACAAACCCACATGCACCTAGTTAAGTCACACAGTCCCTTCCTGCGCCACAGGACAATTACCTTGTTGAGCTACAGAGTCTGCAGCTACGCATTTCCAGGCCGATGGGATGGAATGTTTGTTTAGAGATGCTGTGACCATAACAGACACACAGTAATTTCTATTTGGATACAATTCTTCAATGACAGTATTGAAAACTTCTTCAGTGGTTTTCTCATGGGGCCTCTGCCATGAAAGACAATGTTTCAAAGTTAGCTGTGTGCCTAAAAAAAGATCCCCAAACTGGTGAAACCACAGAGACTGACAAGATAACTCAGTGGTTTGTCTAGGCAGCTGCTTCATTTCTACTTGTAGCTGATGTCAAGATGCCTACCTTCCATCTGTTTGTAAACATAGTATTATCAAAGATAAGTTGCCTATTGTCCCTATTGTTCACTGTAGCCTCAGATAGATGCTAAGATTTGAAACTGCAAGTGATATCTGATTCAGAAATCAGGACAAAAACCCATCTGTGGTGGGAAAGCTGCGGTCCTTACTCTGTGTCTTCTGGCAGGATGAGTTAGATGAAACTCCCAACAGGTATCTGCCTGACCTACCATTTACAACTTCCAGTACAGACACTCCATGCTCTACACCTGCTAGTGTGCCTACACCTGCTAGCAGTTTCTGCAAAAATGTCTTTCCCTTGTCTTCTCAGGGAATAATCACTTGAGCCAGTGCTCTATGTTTTCTTTCAAGTAAGGATACAGGGCAATTAGTATTCCTCTTCTAGGCCTGCTACTATGCAGTAAAAGGAAACTGAGCTTATGATGGCCATTCTCTTTGTTTCCTTCCAAGTATCTTCTGTTCATATATTCACATATTTGCTTCTGTGAATCTGCTAACCATCAGAGACATTTTACATTTTCTATATTTCTCCTCTAATGCATAAATAAACCAAAAACTTCTTTACCTTATGCTCTCCATCATGTGTTTTCAGCGTTATATCATAATCAAGCTCTTGATATATATCAACTAAAGACAGTAGCTTTTCATTTTCTCTGAAGTAAGAGGTTGGCAGCTTTATGGTGACATTTATGCAGTTTATACAGGAACTGATATTAACTTCTGGTGGTCCCAGGAATGCTATTGAAGGAAAAAAAAAGAAAAGGAAAAAAAAAAAAAAGAAAAAATGAAGAGGTAGAAAAAATATACACTATGTATTCAGTACCACTTCTATTTTGGTGACAAACGTAGCTGACTAATCAGATTCCAGAGCATTTCACTGCTATAAAACCACAAGGCCTTTCAACATTTAAGTTCCACAATCAAAAAGCCTTTTCCCACATGACTAGATTTGAAAAACAGAAAGCAGTGGAGAAGAGGGAAGAAGCAGAAAGGTGACAAAGGCTTTGCTTCAGCTCCACAGAGGTGTGAGCTTTTTATCTATTTGAGAGCAAAGGTGAGGTTAATGCATAGGAAAAGCTGTTTACTTTCTTGCTCATCATCATCTTCTAGCCACTCTCTGGAAGAAATTTTTGTAGAAGTTCAGTGGTGCGCAGCCCTGCACATATTCATGCTAGTTGCAAGGAAGGCTATAGGGCTAAACTTAACAACAGAGCTCCAAATACTGAAACTCTACTGGGAGTGGGAAAGATAACATAGTGAAACATAGTTACACTTCCCTGAGCTTCCACTGAGCCTTCAGATCCTTAGAACACGCCTGTGTTCCAAGAGCCACGCGTGCTTTCTCCAAAACTACATATCCATCAACACTGAAGGAACTTCCACAGTGAATCAAGCCTAAGATCTTTACACAATAAAGGAGCAGGAACGTCGGAAAATGGCAGGAGAGCAAACTATGTCCATAAACCTCCATTTCTGTGTAGTTCACTGGGAGGGTGGGGGGAAACATCAAAATTTAGAATTTGCATTTCACTTTGTCTTTTCCAGAGGCATGTGCATTTTGATCAAGGTAGAGATTGGTTTGCCAACCTCTGCAAAATTCAAAGAATCAACACGCGTTTGCTAACTGCTTCTGTTCCTGAAATAGTGTAGAAAGAAAAAACAAACAAAAACCAACCCAAAAAACAAACCCCAGACAAGATTAATACTCAGGACAAATGTGAGCTTTCATCTACTCCCAAACAGGAAAGCATGTCCTAGTCAAGTGATTACACACTTATTCCTTTCTTATCTTTTGCTTTAAGTTACAAATAAACATTAACTTAAATCTGGTTACAGCCAGAAGTGGTTTTTATTATTGCTGGCTCTTTGTTATGAAGCTTTTCTGTCTTTGCTCAAATCTGTCTGTCAGTGAGAGTGAGATTCCACCGCAGGTATTTTGAAGGTAGCCATCAACTACACCCAGTAAGAAAATATCTCAGAATATTGATTCTTTTCTATTCGGGCATAAAGAAGAAAATGCTACAGGACTATTCGGGCATAAAAGAAGAAAATGCTACAGGACTCCTCTAAGTCCTGTGCCCTGGAAAACATGACTTTACTCAATTGCTTATTTGAACTAGAGAACTACTAGCAAAGCATCCAACTTCAATTTACAAATTGCCAGTAATGGACTACCAGTCAAAGCACCTGATAGTTTGTTCCAATGGTCAATTCAATATATGTTTTTGTTCCTAGCTACAATGAAATCTAGCTTCAGTTTCCAGTCAGAGCATGCTGTTATGCTTTGGTTTTGAGACTGAAGAAGCTTGCCATCATGTTAACTACTGGTCAATGCACCTTCTGATCTTACACTTTCAAAAAACTAACTGCTGAAAGACTGAAGACCTCAACCTTAAAGGAATGTTCTCAAATCCTTCAGTTATACTTGTGGTTATTCTCCCCATCCCCTACAATTTTTCATCATTTCTGAGACTGTAAGTGGACACAGCAGTGGTTAACTCTGTGCCCAATTTAGGGGTAATATGACCTACAATTTCTCCTCCATAGTCCTCCAGTTGTTCCTCAATCACTCTCTGTTACTTCAAAACTGAATACTAAGCACAACTAAGGGTGAAGCCACCTCTGGCATTAGAAGATGTCACAGCTAATGAGCGTCTTCTTTCAGCAAGGAAAGGGAGAAGAGCACGTTGATGAGCAAACAAGTAAATCTCTTCCCCTACACCTAGTGCAGGCACAGTATTCCTTTCACTCTTAACACTGACTACTTGAAGACACAAAAAAATGTTTTGTGGGTTGTGTATCTTAAGCATTTAGAGATTTTTGCTTGTCAATGCTTCATATGATCCTATATCCTCTATAATTACACATATATTTTATTTGAAAATCAGAGCCTTGTGATTTACCAGTACTACTACTGTAGCCACTAATTTTAGAAAGCTATCTATGTATTCCAGGTCTTGTAACTCATATGTGCTAGATTATATACAAATCCATCTTCTCTTATATAAAAGAATAAGCTACTGACCCAGTTAGTTTGCTGTATTTTAGTGTAAAGCTAGCAGAATATTGTTTACACATGAGCTATGAATAAAAACTACTAAAATGAGCAAATGCAAAGAACTTACTGTCAGTAATTGGCACAAAATGAAGTGCAGAAGAATTGAATTCTTGATTTCCTACAAAGCTCTGAACCAATGCAGAATACTGAGTGTTCACCTGTTTAAAATCATCTGTCAGATTACAGGAGAGTTGTGTAATATTTGAACATTGTTTAGCAGTCTTCCAGTTCCTGTAAATCAAGAGAAGTTAAAAGAAGACCAAAATAATCTATCTGGGTTTTCTGGTATAAAAAAAGTAAGGGGCAGAGGGAGGGGAGGAAGCATTTCTGAGTGGAAAAACAGACAAATAAACCCCCCTCTAGTCTTAATATTTTGAGTTGATAAACATTAAAATTAAAAATTGTGTCATAAAATATGACTTGCCTGCGGTCAGTGTACAGCACACGATAGTATGTTGGCATAGCTGGATCACTTTTTGCCTGCCAGGACAAAATGTGCTGAAAATTGTAAGATTCCATTTGTAGCTTTTGAGGTAGCTCTCCCAGAAATCTTTCTAGAAAGGGGAAAAAAGCACCCAGAAACAATCAGTATGTTTGGTATATTGTTTGCCATATGAATGGCAAACAAATGTGAGATTGCAACAATTCTAATAAATAAACCCAATTAGAGCAGCCCAATATTTGCCCCAAAATATAGAATAGAGTTCAGCACAACAGAAACAATAATGCAAAGGATGGTCCTCCTTTATTAAGTTCTTCCTTGAAAAAGCATGAAATTTTAAGATGATGCAAGTTTTTTGAACTCTGTTAAGAAAATCATTTGAAAGACAATAAAGCCTCTTACCAGGCAAGCTGTGACAAGCCGTAGACAGAATGTTGATTAACACTGGAAAATAAAACTATGTATTAATGCATTTGTATGTCTACAATATCTGATTACTAGCGTACTATTGGCAATATTAATTCCCAACAATTAGAGACAGTACTCAGTTCCGTCGGTGGAACTGTTTCTTTCACGTATTCTTGCTGTGACTTTCCCCTCCCCTTCCCTCCTTAGAGTATGGGATGATCCCTTCCAAGCTCTGTCATTAATTGGAGGCTCCTAGGAGGTAATTCTTTGATAACTACACTACTACACTGTGCTTCAGGCTTATGCTGATCCCTGACAGATGAGGTTCATGATTCAGTGTGAATAAATGTTTTTAGGATGTTCTTATCAAATACCATCTTAGAAGATTCTGACTATATTTCAAGTAGCTCACCCTGCCTATTAAACACCGTTTTAAGTCATAAACAGAATCTTAAGGCTGGTCTGGGAAAAAAACACTGTTACTGCTTGAAGAACATTATTGAATCAACTTCAGATGCCATTCTTTGCTAAATGTGGGGAGTTCTCAAAGCTGTAGTTTTAACAACTTTGATGTACCACCCACTGTCTCCAGGCAGCTAACACTTGTTAACTCCCTATTTCAGTCTCTATTTTGTAACTCCCTCTCTATTGTGCGTCCTGCAATGCTACAGAAGTAACATTTCCCTGTGGTGTTCACAGCCTCTATTCTCTGCCTGCAAAAGAACAGAAAGAACACCACCAACAGATGCCACAGCACTTCTGCCACAAAATGTGGTTAAGGCTATATTCAGGCTGTTAGTCAGGCCTTACTATCCAAGTAGACTCTTGAACCCAACCTTCTTGCAGATCTTGACATTTTAGAGATCCCACATCTTGTATAACCTCTGTAAGAGATTGATCCTGTCACCCACACTCTCACTGTATACAGAGTTCTTTTCTTTGATCAACTGAGTCTTGCATCATTCATACATTTTCAGCACAGTGCTTCAAGACACTCTTGAAATAATTGTTCTGACCTTTCTATTTTATTTTTTTTTTTCCTCAGGATCTTTCATTTCCCTTCTGCTTTCTAACTGCAACAAAAATAAAATTCCTGTCCACATTTTAAAGGCATTTTGTGGTCTATCCTTCTACTGATAAGATGTCAACTCCCATATTTAGTTGGCCAAAGAAGTAAGTTTAATTTCAAATATATATGCTTGTTCTCATGCTATAGACTAATTCACGGAAATATCTGCAAAATAACTTCTTTATTTTCCTTGAAACTCTTCACTATGTACTCTCTTTTGTCTTAACACCTAAACCCTCTACCCAAAAATATGACAATACCCCAAACATCACTGGCCCGCTGTGTCTGATGAACTGTGCTGATTAATACTGCCTTAACATTTTATTTTATTCTCCTAATCTCACTTAGAATGGTACTTTCTGTAGCATGACAAATGTCTTTGACTTTACATTTATACAGCAATTAACACAACAGCACTCTGGTCCACAACTAAGGTTCTCAGGTGCTACACTGTGATGCGCATCATAGTACCAGAACACATATTCCTGGTCAAGTAGAGGGGATTCAGAATAATAGCAGGTTAGTGAGAACTGTCCTGTCCCAGAGTCAGTGGGAGAATTTCCTAATGGATTAATGCAGTTACTTTACAATCCTTGTCTACATTTGCAGAGAGAGCTGGAAGAGGAAAGGAAAATAAATTCCTGCTCAGTTAATTAAAGAGATACCTGAACCAAATCTTTATGGCTGCAGGGAAGTGTCTTAAAATATGATCTTTAATTAGCAGTGGGCATACACAGAAGCACACATAAATAGACTTGGGCACTAAGTTGGTGGAAGTCATTTGGGATGGATACTTAGCCAAGTAGCTCTTATAAATCTGGCTTTTCAGTTATCTGTCTCACAAACATTAAACTATGCTCCCAGCATCCTTTCTGAAATTAGATGCAAAGAAATTAAGTAGCTCACTTGTGGAAATATAGATTTGTTGCATATGCAACTCATGAGAGAAAACTCATCTCTTAAGCTTCATTTTGCCATCCAAACCACAGACATCTTTTTTTGCATGTCTTCCTTCAGTACTTGTTCTTCTACATTATTACTGAGTAATAAACATCCCCTTAGAGAAGTGCAGTTAAAAGTAGAACAACTGATTTCCTGTCATGTAGTAACAGATCACTTATCTGGAAAAAACATCCTATGGGTATGAATAACAAAGCAATACTTTAACAGTTATTATTCTTTACCTGAACACAAGCTCAGATTTGTGATCATTTGTGTGAGGAATTCTAATGCGCTAACAGGAACACAGCCTTTACCACATTAAGACTAATCCCATTATAGAAACAGGTAGTTTCAGGGTGCAGATTCTAGTAATGACACACTTCCTTGGAGCAACCCTTTCAGATTAGGGGATGTAAGCAGTCTGTTGTTATTCTCTCTAGCACCAGCCACCTCACATATGTCAGCCATCTTGCCATCATATTTCGTGCCGACATAACGTTTTTCTATTCAAGGATTCTCAGATTAGACAGGCAATTTTATGCCAACAACAATTTAATGCCAATATTTGTAATTTTTAAATGTGTCTCTGCTCTCAAAACCAAATTCCATTCATCAAGAGTTCAACCTCCCTCAGAATTTCGATTCAACAAACATGCTTAGCAAATACAGTTGGAGAGTTGCAAAATTTTGTAGGTTATGCTCTTACGTAAGAGACAGACAAGAAAAAAATATCTTAGACCAGATAACAGGGAAAATGAAGACTGGAGAGATCAAGACGGTTTGCAAATCAAATGTAGAACTTTTTTCCATCTTACCTTTTTTACAGAATTAAATGTTCCTAGCAAAGCAGTTTCTCATTATAACTACAGCTCCCACCTAGCACACTAGGAAGCTAACCTAGCTAAGAAGCTAGGTCTCTTGTGCCTGCTAATTCAGAAACTAAGGAATCCTGAAAAAAGTTAGAATAAGAGATGAAAACCAACATATCCAGCTAAGAGTTCATTGGACATTTATAGGCAGAATGCAATATGCTGTGTCAAAGCGTTTCTTTATTATGTGAAAAATCCAGGTTCATGTATAGAATGGAATGTGTAGAATGTAATACACTAGATTCCTGATACTGTGAATTATTCCAGGGAAAGCTCTATAAGATGATGGTATCTTACTTCAGTAACTCAGGAAGAGTGTTAGTGAAAAATTAGCATTCTTACTCCTCTTACAATATAAAGATACAGGCAACTTACCAAGTTGATGAAAACGCATTGGTACATCCATCAGTGTTTCCACGGCAGTTACGAAATATAACCTACTGATTGCAAAACAATCATTTTGCTCCTGTACCTGCAAATAGATAAAAAACAACCACATTCAGCAAATCACCTCAGTAAATTACTTGCAAGAAAAACAGGCCTATGTACAAAGAGTTACTTTAACCTCTTCAATGTCTAGGGGGAGGCAGAGGTTCTGAAACAGTTACTGCTATTGGTGGGTGAGGCCAGGATCCTCAGATCAGACAGGCAACTTTATGACAACAGCACTTCCCTTTTTTTCTGAGGAAAGATCTCTTCCAATTTTAAATGAACACAGAAAACACTGTATGGTACAATGAAAAAAAGCACTACTTGGCTTTATTTCAAATATTACAAGAACTGGTCATTGTTGTAAAAAATGTTTCCAGAAAGAGGGCAGATCAAAAGGGAGGTTAGAAAAAAAACCCCAAACCCCAACTATAAAATTATTAATTATGAAGTTTCTGATGCATTTTTTTTAATGCAGATGATCCATTAAAATATTTCCTCTCCTTGATGTTGTATTTTTATTTTATTTATTATCCTCATAGTGTTAATATTTGCAGGATCTGGTTTTGGATTACAGGCAAAGTATTAAGGAACAACTGTGAATCTATAGATGTCTGGGCAAGGGTATAACTATTTGCAAAGAATCTTCTCCTCAGGATTAATACAAAAAATGTGGTTTTTTTTACATTTAAAATTATTTTTCAAATACAACTTAAATTATTTTCTCTGGAATGTAACTTTTCCGAGAAAATAATTCAAATTGTATTTTAAAAATATTATTTTCTCTGGAAAATAACAACCAAACAAACCACAGCTTAAAGTTTAAAATCATGGCAAAGCATACTATGGTCAAACTTAGCACACTATGTTAAAATCTGATTGGAGATGTCAATATTCCTCTATTCAAAGTTTTAGCATGACTATAGGAATCCACCAGATAAATGTTGAGAAACATCATTTCACAGACAAAAGAATGTTCTTTTCATTTCAATTTGGTTCATTTATTAATTCATTCAAGCACGAGGAATATTTAGGAGATATAAAATACCAGTCTTCCTCTTTTCAATCAAAATTAAGAACTATGGATAAGAAGATAAAATTCACCAGTCACAAAATTCTAAAGTTTATCACTAGTATCAGCAAACTAGAACGCAATTAAGTCACATATCTACCAAGTCCATTTAGTCTTGGCACTAGTGAATGTGACAGAAGAAAAAAAAAATCATTTGACTTTTGCATTCGGATCAAGTTTACAGGTTATGCAGTGTGTGTGTACATATATATATGTATATATATATAAATAATATTTTTACTTCAACAAGGTTACCAGCTTTGTTCGGAAGTCACACAGAAACATAGTGTCAAACAATACTACTTTCACATTCACTTTAGAGAACAGTTAAAGCCCTGGAATCTGAATTTTCAGGCTGTTCAGAATTTTCACTTCAGGTGAAAATTTTGAGGATCCCAAATTCGCTTTGCAAAATATATCCTTTGTCTTAATCCTCGCAATTAATCACAAACCATATTCAAACCAGTCCATATATGGCATTATGTAATAGACGTATTTGCATACCTTTGATCCTTGCTGTACATGCTGTCATGAATAACAACTATCCCACTCTTGGAATCTGAAGTGACTCCTGTATGACTCTGTATGTTGAACACCACACGTATCTTAAATGATGCATGTTCAAAGTCAGGTTATGCATTTAGCACCATAGAATATATGCATGTGTATATATATATAAAGTGAAAAAAAACTAAGGTTATCTCTGACTTTGCACAGTTGTTTAAATGTGGATGTCATCCGCAGATCTATCAATGCCAGGTAAATTCAGGAGGAAATTCCAAGGGGAAACCATTTCTGTCAGAACTCCGATTAGCTTTTGTTACTCTTCCTCTTCAGGGCCCCAGCAGTCTCTGGAGAGAAGTCACAGAAATACTCGTGAGTCCAGCCCTCGCCCACCTCATCAGCCTGGGCTCACAGTAACTCCCCTCAGAGCTGCCTGAAGCCCTCAGTGCCATCAAAACTCAACTTCACTGAGTCCTGAACTAGAGTTCAGGCTGGGTTGTTTTGTATTTACCTCCAACTAGACAAAGCAGGTTTTGAAAGTCACTGACTTGTATTTCAGAAAAGCTCCACATCAGTAAAGCAGAAAACACATTTTCTTTGAAATAATCAGATGGCGTGTTCATTTATATAAATTACTTATTGGAACGTTGAGTGAGAAACACAGAGAGAGACAGAAACCACAGAAGTCATTTCAGGCAGAGAAGTCAGCAGAGAATTGTCCTAAATCTACACACAGGTAACACAATGTACAAACTAACTTTACTACTGAAACCATGTGAACCATGTAATCATGCTGTGGGTTGTAGTATTATGCTCATGCTCTGTTCCTGGCTTTGCTGGAAGACTTTGGATAAGTTGCTTCTAAAGATGTTGAAAGAATTTAACCTTAATAATCCAAGTCCGTTAACCACAAGTCCATCTTGCATACGCTGCCAGCAGTGCTCCTGGTGAGCCAGAAATGCCCCTGGAGAAGCCAGCGTGGGACACGCGGCATTGAAACAGAGGGATGGACAGACAGACTCCTCGGCTGTGGTGTGCCGCTCCAGCATGGCGGGGAGGACACAGTGCAACAGCATTGATGCCAAAAAAACTCGTCAGACTCTACCGCTGCCCATTTTTCCTCACAAATTTGTGTCCCTGAGCTACACCATTACCTACAACTCAACCCACAGGCTATCACTAGGGTCTGTTTTGCAGCCAGTGACATCGCCGAAGGAACAATCCCCATAACCCGCCGTTTTAAAGTGAGATTCCGCCGTCCTGCGGGGTCACCGGTTTCAGGCAACAGCGGCCTCCGCTACGCGCCCACCGAAGCGCTAACGGAAACCAGCGGCCTTTCCAGGAAACCCCCGCAGCTGGGGACGCCGATCCCAGCGCACACACACCTCCCCTCGCTGAGAGAGAGCGCGGAGCACACCGCGGAGTTCCGCCGGGCGCGGCCGGCCTGGGCCCTGAGGGGGTTGCGGTCCGCCCAGGCCTTCGCTCCGGTTGCGCTAACGGAACATCTCCAACAGCCGCAACACAGACGAGCACCCCCGCACCACGGGCAGCTACCCACTAGGAGCGATGAGCGATGGGACACAGGACACCCCGCCACCTCCCAGCCGTACCTCGCAGCAGGCAGCATCCCGGCGGCTCGGCACCGCGCCGGCTGTTCTGTCAGGCCGAGGAACGCGCTGCCCGGGAAATGGCGGAGGGGGCGCTGCGGCGGGCGGCGGGCGGCGGGAGGCGGGAGGCTGGCCCCGCCCCGCCCCGCCGGCCGTCCCGAGGCGGGGTTAGGGCAGCTCACGGTGGGGTCGGTGTTGGGTCGCTAACAGCGCCGTTGGGGGCCGGCTTCAGGGCGCCGCTTCTTCCGGAGCTGGGTCTGCGCCGGGCCGCTGGCCGGAGGCTCCCCTGGTGGTGCACAGCTGCCCGCACCCGCGGGAAGCGCTTCCTAGCCTTGCTTGGCTTTTACTTCCATCCTCTGGTGTTCGATGCGTTGTTGTCGTGAAGGAAGTCTCTGCGGAAGTGCTTGCTGGTCTCCTTGCTCCTTAATGTTGAGGAGTGCGGTGCTGCTGATAGGGGTTTTGTAAATATTTGCCTTATCAGGGACCGAAATGGGTAAGGCGTTTTCTGTCGTAGCGCTTTCTGATAGTGGAAACAGCAGCATGTGGTATTCAGTACAGCCTGTATCATGTAATGTGAGGGGTCATCATGAGACGATCTTGGTACCTACCTGAGGTGAGCAAGGGGTAAGAAACCAGGCCTGGCTAGTGGACATGTCCCACTGGACCTGCAGCCCCACTGGCTACACCTCCTTGTCCGCTGGCTTCCATTTCTTCACTGATTGAGACGTGTGATCTTAGGAGTTGTTTGGCAGCTGGACATGAGGTGATGCTGCACCTCCTTAAACCATGCGAAGAAAAGGAAACCTGAGGTTTCCAGTTTCTGTTTAAGGCTGTTTTACCTGTGAGGCCTTTCTAAATTTTGTTAACTGTTTTGGGTTGGATTTTTTGTTTGTTTGGGTTTTCTTGTTTGGTTTTTGTTTGTTTTTTTTTTTTTTTAAGAATTATTTTTACAAAAATATCTAATTTCCTGCCATTTTTGCAGAAGCTCCCACAAACTTCCTGCCTGCCTGTCAGACAAATCCACTGGCTCTTGTGGTCGCTCAGCACAGAGTGAATCTTCTGTCTGACTTATGTGCAGGAGGGATAAAGCACCTGTAGTGAAGGGTGAAGGAGACCTAGAACTCAGTTTTCACAGATTTTGGTCAAGTCAGCAGGTCATAGTTATTACGAATCTAAATTGCCTCCTATAAGGATCTGCCTGTGACTTAGAGGTAAATGTATCCATGCATGCTGAAATACTACTTCCACTCATAGCTGTTGCTGATTCTAGCACTCAGCAAAGTACTCTCACTCAGGTCATGACCCAGTGCAGACAGGGAGGAGGGTAGGACTACGAGCAAGGAGCAGTGAAGATGTGGCTACTGCAAAATATAAGGCCTCTCTATTTTGGCAACTCGGCTTGCTTTCCCATAAAAGAAAACCTGTGCTGAAGCCACAGGGATGCTCAGCTATATACCAGGAATAAAAGTCTGTAATGAAAACTCCAGACATTTTTTCTTTTTTTTTTTTTTTTTTTTTGTGTGTGGTTTTGGTTTTTGTTGTTGTTGTTATTTTGTTTTTTGGTTGGTTTTTTTTTTTTCTTTTTGCTTTTGGGTTTTAATGTAAAGAATAGCTCCATCTGTTGCACTTCATGTGAAAAACTGCCTGTAGAATTTGTAAGTGAAATGGGGAGCCTGGCCCTGGGCTCTGCCATAGTAAACACTGACAGTATTCTTCAAAGAAAACTGGGGAGAAATGGCACAGACACATACTTTTTTTGGTATCATACCCAATTATTTTGTTAGTTCTGTTAAGGTATGTGTGTATGTGCACATGCGTGTGTTTATACACAAATATCCATTTGTGTGCATAAGTCTGACTTTGGGGCAGGAATCTTAACACACCATGCCTGTGATATAAGGAAAGCAAGTGCCTGGAAAACATAGGGTTAAGATACTTCTAACTTAACTTAGGTCTAAGATAGAGAACAATGTTTGTGTTTTAAGTCTGTGGTGTGATAACAGAATTTAGTAGCCTTACTAACAAGAGTGAATTATTTCTTTCCATCCTTCTAATGAGTGACCAGCCTTGTAATTATCAGTTAGTTTGGAGACTGTGACTCCCGAACATCTGCTAGCTTGGGAGGCAATAAATTTTGTGGGCGAAGGTCACACTGTTTTAAATCTTGGCCAGCTATCAGAAACTTGCAGATATGGCTGGTTTCAGCTAATTTCTGATTACTGGGGCATCCAACTGTGCCAAAGGTGAGAAGTGCACCCTGAGGAAGACTGCTTACTTCATCTTGAAGACCCCTGCCCATGACCATCAGAGGGCAGTGAACAAGTGCCAAAAGGGAGACTTATGATAATGAGTACTTAAAGAAATTGTAATATCCCTGCTGAATTATTGGGAACCTAATGAATATGCACGTTTGTGTGTAATAAATATCTGCTTGCTTAACCCCTTGGTGTGCAAGTTAGGAGGAGCAATGTCCCTTGCACCTGGCACTGTAATAAACATACCTGCTTTATAACTCCCTTTGAGTTGTAGAGTCTGATTCTGTGCTTTGCCTGGGTTAAAAGTTAGATTTTAATACTGGTAAAGTAAGTACCCTCTCTAGTCCCATCTGCCACTTTGCTGCTCAGTTTTTGAGTGCAGGGCTGTCTGGAAGCATAGTCTCATCAGTCTAGCCTGACACAAGATCAGACCATCACTGTCTGCAAAAGCCAAAGCTTGTGGAGCTTGTACAGGATCCAAAGTATTCACAGCATATTGCAACCAGCCAGCCTTCAACACCACAGAAAGATCATTCAGCTGCTCTCTAGAGCTACTGCGTTATCTAGACAAGCCAGAAAGTTGCCAGCTGTAGGCAGGTCTGTGGGTGCAACTACTGCTGTAGAACTGGAGGAGTAAGCTGCTGTCCTAAACACACATGGTGGTTCCCGTGCTATGCTGCACAGAATGGTAGTTCCCAACCCTTTTGGAATAACACACCATTGTCACACCTCCTGTCTTGTGACTGCTCAATAGTTTTTACTATTAATCATGTGTGTATGCCATAACCCAAGACTGGCAGCAGCATGAAAATAATTCAGATGATCATTTCAGAATAGCTCAACAAGCTGGTATTTGTCTTGAAGTTGTGCACTGGTACCTCTGTTTCTTTCTCTGATATGAAGGAGATTCCTAGTGTGCACCTCTTATTTGGTTTGACCTAATTTCTGCTGGTAGCTTCTTCTGCTTGCACACTGACGCATCCTGTTTTCTGCCTTTGATACACTGTGTCGACCTTTTCAACTGTATTATTGTTACTGGGGATTTTGAGTTACAAAATAATTGCTACAATAGTTGGCTACTGACAAGTTTGTTGTAAAAACTGGCCCACTGCAAAGAAAGAGAGAATAAAGAAAGATGTAGAAAGACAGGACTGAGGTGCTCCCTTATTTTCTTTGTGAATTCATGGGGCACGCATTTAATCTCACACATCCAAATGAGACCCCTTCAACTTTTCCATGTCCTGCGTTATTTCATTTCTTCTCCTTACATCCTTTTGCTTTTCCACTGCTGATACCTCTAGTAAGAGCCAGTCATAGAATGATAGAATAGTTAGGGTTGGAAAGGACCTTAAGATCATCTAGTTCCAACCCTTCCCCCCCGCCCACTATTTTAAAGGCAGGTTTTCACTGAGCATATAAATGCTGGGTGTTTAAAAAGTAGTTTGAAGTGTTTCAAGCTTGTCTTCCAGTTGCTATGCTTACTGTCAGCATTGGAACCAGTGTAACTGATTTAATGTTAGTGTCAGGGAGCACATTCATACAATTTCCAGATGTAGGAATATAGATAACTTTCTCTGATTATTTACTTCTGACACATCTCTTTCTATGAAATCCTATTTCTGTTTCGGCTATCTTAATTTTGTTCTGAGCTCAACTATGTGGACTGTTCTGAAACTTCTGTGGGTCCAAAACTAGGACAGCTAGGTTTTTGTTATTTTTTTATTTGTTTACAGCCTTATAATTTTTTTT